GCGACCTTGGAGATAGATGTTATCAGCTGTCCTCTGCTATTGCTCTAAAACAAATGCATCACAATTTCAAAACAACACACTTTATACGACATTATCCAAAAGTTAGCGGAAGACAAGTTTTATTAGACCGCATGTAGAAATACGAAAAGAGCTCATATAAACGTGATTTAAGGGTAGGTTCGCAGAGGTATCATTTGAGGTTGGAAAAAAATCGGGATCACAAACTGACGTTTCTCTTTTGCACTAGGCGGCAACTCAAAACGGAAGGGAAACATTTTTTTGGTGGAAATTCCACAAATCATATCTAGATGCTTGATATCTTTCTTTCTATTTGCTTTTCATTTATATAGAGTCTTCCACGGAGGTTTGACAATTTATATGGACATAGAAAACTATTAGGATTGCTTTTTTGAAACATTTAAGCCAACATCAAGTTCCTCGCTTAGGCGATTCTCACAAGATCAGTATTTAAAAGCTTTCCAGGTCCTGACATAAAAAGAAAAATATCTATATCTTAAATGGACCCTCATCCTTTTCAAATGATCACTTATGTATAGCTGCAATTGAATCATTACTAATATGGAGCTATTGTACAATTATTACAGTCATGTAAAATTCAGAATAATGCTTCAAATATTTCCTTATTCGTACACAAATAATAGAAAAGAAAGCTTTATAACGGAGCAATAAATATTTACATATTATTGTTCGTTGAAGCAGTACACTATAAACGTCCAATATTAATGGAAACAAGGAAAAAAGTAATTTACCATTTAAAATGGTTACACCGAGTAAAAAATGTCTTATCGAAACCGCAGAGGCTAATGTTGTAATTGCATTTTTTTTGTTTTTTAATAAATACGATTAACAATAAAAAGATGAAATTCCGCTGACAACTGTCAAGATCTTCAATTACTTCGTGACATGTTCCATTTCTTTCTAAGGCTCGTGCTTCAACTTTCAACTATTGATCAGAAGGAGCTTCAACAATATACGAGGGATGCTTCTAGAATTTCAATGTGGAATGATTTGCCAGAAGAATCTTTATTATAGCATATAACAATTGCCGTACTCGTTATTTAGGCAGTGCGCAGTTACGAAATAATAATAAATGGTGTCAAGTAGGTTGACTCTGCACTTCCACGCAACGTCCTTATCGTTTATTTAATCAAAAAAGTCAGTCAAATAGGTCCACACAATTAGTCCATAGACATCATTTCTCCGATGTCACTGTTTTAAAATTAGACGCAACTTGACAATGGGCTTACACAGTAAGGGACATCAAGACGGAAGGGTTTCTTTAGAACATCCCTTATATTAGCGAATTCGTTATTAAGAGGCCTGGTTTTAACTAAAAAATGATAGTAATTAAAATAAATGCTTGCTAAATAATACATGATGTTTATCTTATTTAGACAGCGGTTGGTTTTGCAATAGATAACATTGTTCTACAATTTCTTCGATATAATATGCGTAAATATTGGAGTAGGTAAATACAAATTTAGCCATATACTTAAAAAGGTTTGCTTGAATAGTAATTTGGGTTATTATGCCAGTTTGAACTAGGATTTCGAAAAAAATCAATGGGTTTTACCGCTATAACAAGTTTTTTGGGGCAAATTAAAGTGCCTTGTTACATTGTTGAACAATTAGATAAGGATATCAGGATGATCCCAAAACAGTGACAATCTTTCTAAAGCAGATCAGTCCAAAATAACACAATCATTTTTTTACCAACATGCTTCAGAATTGAGAAAGAAGTATATCTCCGGATTGGCCAAATCGACTTAAAATTCTGCACATGTAGTAATGCATGTAGAAATGTTCGTTGCTTAAACTACATCAATAGCGTAGAAACTAGGATACTGTGTCCCATACAGGAGAAAGATAAATATTTTGTATTTTTATGGCTTTTGGAGAGAATAGAAATGGTTAAGATGTTTGAAGTGATAACTGGGATACTGCTATGATTTTTTAATCACCGGTTATAGTCACATAACTGAAACATAACAAAGGGTGGAACACGAAGAGTTTCTATCACTACTAAAGTGAACCAGCAAAAGTCAACTATAAATCTGCTTTGCCACATTCCATATACAGGGTGTAAACCTTATGATATGTTAAGTAGAAATATGTAACTAAGATCATAATGAAGGAGCCAAATAAGAGCACTGAAAACTCGCTGTTTTCGAAACGAATTTAGATAATATTCGTTTTTATCTTTTTAGGAAGCTAGCGTCCATTTTTTCAAGACACATGCTTCAGTGTCAATAAAAAATGATTTATTCATCACAGTTATCTCGTTTTATCAATAACAAAAGCTGGGACGGCTTTATATGCTCCGTTTTATATAACTTTGACTGTTATATATATTTTGAGATAAACTACGCCAATATTTGATGATGTGTGTAAATGTGAAAATACTATGATGTAAATATCCTAATGTAGGCTTTAAGTGGAAGATTTGTAGGTTTACTAGAAGTTTCCTTGGCAGTGCGTTAGACCAGCATTTCTCAAAATGTGCTCTGTGGATTCTTCGGAGGTTAATCCCAAAAACGACCTCCATTATGTTATTGATATACAAAAAAGTAAAAACAGCTAAAGCTGATAATGTTCAAAAAGCGTACGTAGTGTCAATCTAGCGTTCATAGAAAGATTGGTGGAACCATTAATGCACAATTTGGATTTTCCATGAAGAAAAATTTTCTCAGAATTTGGCACGACAAGGTTGCTACTATACCACGGACGGAAAAGATTAGTAATTTTCAAAAATCGGTCCAGTGACGGCGGAAAAAATCCAAAAGCAAACGGAAAAAGTAAAAATCGCACAGAATTCTTTTTTGGCGTTTTTAGGTGCTGATCATTTCCAGAAACATTTTTGTAGGATTGAAATTTGAGGGAAATAATGTCTATGGGCTAATTGTATGGGCCTGTTTGACCAGCTTAGTCCATTTGATTTGTTGTATATTTTTGTAAGTGACTTTTTCCTGAGAGGATTGACATTTCGCTGACCTGGCCTAGGAGTTTCAGAGTCAACCTACTTGACGCTAATTTTTTCCTTAATCTCCCAGTACATATAGGTACTTCTCGCAATCTTAATCACGTATTACCTCAGGAGGATCTGATGTATATCTATTTTAAAAAATGATTCAACTTTAATCTTATCTTTTGTAATTATGAGTTGGAGCTCAGATTTCACAAGTGTTTTGTCAGATTAAGAAAGAGTAGCTACGTATCCTAAATTGCTAACAACTCGCTAATGTTCTATATTTTGAAGTACCTTCTTTTGGATAAACGGGTATTGAACTACTTCAATCAGATGTAAAAATCTATAAAACATAATGATACCTTATCTGAGATAAATATCAAACAGTTACACTTGTGTAACAGTTGTCTATTAGATTTTATTTATAAGGGAATCTTAAGCAAGGCTGAGAGGCGCTTCTCATATCTGAATATTAAAACTTCCGGCATTCAAGCTTTGCTTGCGTAACTTATTAAGTATAAAGAAAAATGCATTCCAAGCTTTGCCTTCGCGATAGCTTGAGAATATGGGATAACCTACCAAGGTCAACAGTATCAAATCATACCTAATTTAACTAGTTCGGAAACAGTATCAATAAACCATCCAGTCTTCAGTTTTTGATTTCGCATCCTTTTGAGTATAAAGTACAATATAACTTTGTCCTCGCGATAGCTTGAGCATTAAGAATAATCTACCAACCGTAACACTCAGCGATTCTGTTAATCTTAACCAGTTCAAGACCTACATCAACAAAAGCTCCAGCATTTAAGCTTTGTTTTCATAATTTTTTCAATTTTCAAATGTATTCCAAGCTCTGTCCTCGCGTTAGCTTGAAAGTAGAGAGTAATCTATTAAAGGCAACATTTCTCGAGTATAATAATCTTAACCAGTTCAAAACAATGACAACAAAACTTCCGGCATTCAAGCTTTGCTTCTCTTATTTTTTCAGTATTGATAAAAATGCATTCCAAGCTTTGCCTTCGCGATAGCTTGAGAATATAGGATAACTTACCAAGGTCAACAGTATCCGATCATACCTAATTTAACTTGTTCGAAAATAGTATCAACAAACCCTCAATTCTTCAGTTTTTAATTTCGCATCATTTTGAGTATAAAGCACAATATAGCTTTGTCCTCGCGATAGCTTGAGAATTAAGAATAATCTACCAACCGTAACACTTAGCGATCCTGTTAATCTTAATGAGTTCAAAACCTACATCAACAAAAGCTCCAGCATTTAAGCTTTGCTTCCGATATTTTTTCAGTATTAAGAAAAATGCATTCCAAGCTTTGCCTTCGCGATAGCTTGAGAATATATAGGATAACCTACCAAGATCAACAGTATCCGATCATACCTAATTTAACTTGTTCGAAAATAGTATCAACAAACCCTCCAGTCTTCAGTTTTTACTTTCGCATCAGTTTGAGTATATAGCACAATATAGCTTTGTCTTCGCGATAGCTTGAGAATTAAGAATAATCTACCAACCGTAACACTCAGCAATTCTGTTAATCTTAACCAGTTCAAAACCTACATCAACAAAAGCTCCAGCATTTGAGCTTTGCTTTCGTAATTTTTTCGGTATTAAGAAAGCTCTGTCCTCGCTTTAGCTTGAAAGTAGAGAGTAATCTATCAAAGGCAACATTTCCCGAGTATACTAATATTAACCAATACAAAACAATGCCAACAAAACTTCCGGCATTCAAGCTTTAAATGCGTAACTTATTAAATATAAAGAAAAATGCATTCCAAGCTTTGTCTTCACGATAGCTTGAGAATGTAGAATATTCTACCTAAAGCCATTCAAGCTATGCTTTCGCGACTTTTTTTGATATAAAGAAAAGAATTTGCGGTAGCTTAAAAATGTAGAGCAATTTACCCCACTTGTAACAACAAACTCTCTGGCATCGAAGCTTTTGTTTTTCGCGAGTCTGAGTATGCATACAAAAATATAGTACCAACAAGTGATGTTACCTTACATCTCCTTGTGATGATATTGTAGACAGGCATTTTCTTCTGTTTCGTTTTCCTCGTCATCCAAGCGGTTGGGTAGAAACTCAATAAGACCGAAATCGGGGAAGTACTGTGGTAGGGATGGCTAAATCATACTCCAATGGGGTAGCACTGTATACCGACGGAGATGTGTATCGTGCACCAGCGTAGAGCGTACCGAAAAGTTTTCGCGGGGTTCAGGCGGTACTCGCGAAGACGCACGCGTTGGTACTGCTGCAAGCTACTCGCGAACCCGCTATCGCGACGCGTAGCAACGAGATATGGAATCCTGTTGATTAACTCTTTGATGATGGATATTGCTGCGCGCGCACCACGTGCGATCTGGATTATACAATGCTTTTGAAAGGACCCCCCTCATTTATTTTTTCTTTTTTTGTACATCAAAGCAGCCTCGCAGGCAGACGCCTAAATCACTGGGCACCGCGGCTGCTATGAAGAGCTTAAAGAAACTTTGTTATTCCGATTGTTAAACTGCCTAAGGTTAGTAGGATTGGGAAAATAATAATAATAAATGGCCTTTATTTTACCTGGCGGGTTACATCAGCACAAGTTGTTTTTCAGAACCAACCAGGGCTAAAAAAAATTCAAGTACATGCAAATAAAAAAAAATACACACAGGCTGACGGGGAGTCCAAAAATATTATAAAGGTACCGTATTTGTAGCTTATCTTTCCATCCCAAAATTTGCAAAGCAGTATCTGGAACTGACGGGTACATCGTCCTTTGGTTTTGATATTATTATATTACGGATGTTTCGACCACCATGGTGGCCTTTTTCAAAGTACAAATGACCGTAATGGTCAGAACGTTCGTCAGTCGAAATTAATTCAAGCGTTTGTGATTTCATTTATCGGCCAGATCATCCCGTCCTATGCCCACTTTTGGTGAATTAACGACAGCGTTGCGTGAGTCAAACCACTTGACGTTACTTTCCTCTGATCCTCTCGACTGAGCACCGCTCTACCTCTGGAACAGTACGCTTAAAATAATCGACACGTCGATGAAAAAATATGGTATCATTTACAAATGTCATTTGGCAGAAAAATGATCTATTTATTACTTGGCTATCGACTTGAGATTCGGTTGTAGCTATACGAGTGTTAACATTAAATTTGGAGCAGTGTTTTCAATTAATTAATAGGATTGATGAAATAGTCTACCAATTCACGTAGTTTTACAACCGCTGAAAAAGGTTATACTTCTAAGTGTAAAAGGTGGATATGGAAATACAGGGTGTAAAATAAGCAAAAAGTTTCATATAACATGGGGGTCAAAACGACATTTTTTTAGAGAAAAGCGACTTTAAAGTAAAATAAAATCTGGCAACACCGCAATGCCAGACGCAAATTACGACGGAACGCAGTGTAAATAAAGATGGAGTTTGTTATTTTTGGCTCTTAGGTATTATTTCATTATTTGATAATGTACTCGTAAAATGCAAACAATTAAAATTAGTGGGCTGAACACTTGCTGTATCTCAAAGTCTTTGGTACACTTGCACAAATGTCCTACTGTCTGTGTGTACCCGTTGGCGAAATCTGTCGCGATGAATTTGAGCTGCAAGATTTGAATTCTGACGAGCTTCACCGTAAACTAACAACATGTCGGCGAACTCTTGATTCGAGAACATTGTAAATAAACACGACGACGTACGCGAACAATAACAAAACAACCACTGTTACCGTTTGCGATCGATTGCCGGTTCGATAAGAGTGATGAAATACCGACGCGCGGTTGTCAAGTGTAAGGGTAAAAAAACCAAAATAATAAAAATTTTCGAAAGGTTACGGAAATCGAAAGCCATAAAAGCATCATATCCAAGTTCCACTGGTGAAGACAATATCGTCACACAAGTTGGACGATTGGTGATACTACCTTGACGTTTTCACATTTCAAGAAATGATATAATGATGCTGATTGAAATTATTGATGCACTTATTCCGGATTTACCCTGTATAGCGTTATCACTTTGTAAAAATTTATTAACAATAGGATATTGTCGCATCGTTGTCGTACGGGTTGTATTTTAAAATGGTTATGTCAAAACGATTTACTAACCCAACAGCAGAGCAAGTTACATAATTATTGTAATTTTATGTGTGGTAAAACATCATACATAGTATGAAGGCTAATAATTCATTTTTATGCTACCAATAAAACAGTATGGCGCACCAATTGATATGTCAATCTTGCCTGATAAGCTACGTATCGCGTTTAGTCTCAGTATTCATTCTAGTGGTGCTTACTCATAATAAATGATAGTTTAAAAGAACTAAAAAAACACGCTAATCGAACTAAAAAGTAGAAAATAGTGTTTAATTACAAAGAGCTTATACTACAGTTCAAAACCGTAAACAAATTGATAGATTTATCGAAGTTTTACAAAAGGGGGCAGGTTACGCATCACATATTGTTATTATAAGGAATCAATTTATCTATTTAATTATGCTTGGCATAATACGTATTATGTATTCATATCAAAATCATGTCGAAATCATTGCTCTTTATTATGCATGTTGAATTTTAAGTGAATTGTGAAACTGAACCAAAAGAGGTTTATTGTTTTTGTCAACATTAAGTATAGCTGTTGAAATAATATATGCTGTTACTAAAATGTATCTTTTAAATTCAGATGCACTGTTACAGTTACGATATTTCTAGAATTGAGAATTTAAAATGGAATCCATAAAAAAAGAATATATATATATAGAGAAAATGATCATGCGGAGAAAGGTATATAACAAAAAGTAGGAAAATAATGGACAAAATCCGCAAAAAGAAGGAAAGGGGATTCGAGCAGAAAATAGGATAGGTAACCCGAGCGATACGTATTTCTGCTGGTTGGCTTCATCAGAGCCGAAATGAATGCACATATGAAACTGCCCATTATTTTCCTACTTTTTGTTATATACCTTTCTCCGCATGATCATTTTCTCTTTGCAGATCCTTTGGGCTTGAAGTACCACAGCAAGTGGCTATAACCGGCCGCATGGTTGTGGTTACATGTATACTTGAAAATTCGAGATCTTCTAGCCATTTTAAACTACAATGTGAGGGTTGGCTCTTGTTGTGGACTTCGTGTTGCGTTTTTTCCCTCTCCATCTTCGTTTCCTCAGGTTACACACGTAACCGGATGCGTGGGCATGTATATCTACTTTTGTAGTTTCATATGTGCATTCATTTCGGGCCTGATGAAGCCAACCAGCAGAAATACGTATCGCTCGGGTTACCTATCCTATTTTCTGCTCGAATCCACTTTCCTTCTTTTTGCGGATTTTGCCCATTATTTCTCTATTTTTTTGATATACCTTTCTCCGCATGATCATTTTCTCTTTGCAGATCCGTTGGGCTTGAAGTACCACAGCAAGTGGCTATAACCGGCCGCGTGGTGGTGGTTACATGTCTCCTGGACTACTTTTGTAGTTTCATATGTGCATTCATTTCGGGCCTGATGAAGCCAACCAGCAGAAATACGTATCGCTCGGGTTACCTATCCTATTTTCTGCTCGGATTCACTTTTCTCCTTTTTGCGGATCTGGCCATTATTTTCCTACTTTTTGTTATATATATATATCAATCAGATAAGACGTTCAGGTTTTTATAAAACACCCAGTTTGGTTTGTCTAAGTACAGCCTGTATACGTTCAACGATTGATACAAATATATTTTAAATTTTGTAAAGTGAGTCTTTCTTGATTGTTGGTTACCGTGCATTTTCTATGATGAACTTGTCGCCGCGACTACATTAGGAGGGCCGGCCGACTGATCGATGACTCTTCTCTAACGGATAGTCTCGGGACCCTTTCGCACCGGCGGGCCGTCGGCGATCTGTCTCACTTTTACCGCTGCGTCAACGGGCTTTGCTCCTCAGAGTTCGTACAACCAGAACTGGGCGATACGACCGCTCCTTTGTCCTCTTCCCAGTTCTACTAAATCAAATGTGAATCATCCTCCTTATGGCCCTGACGATTTTGGTTTTAGCGAAGTAAAGTTGGTTGTTAGTATTATTATATTGCATCATATTTGTATTGATAATGAGTTCTGATTGTAATATAATAGCCCCATCTTTCTCTATCAATCGTGGAAAGTAATCACACATTTTTACCTTGAGCTTTGTTACGTTTTTGTATTTAGAAGTATCATCATAAAATTTATATGTTTAAACTATTTATCCGAATCTTATCAAAATGACGATGATATAATTATACTTGTGGTTCGAGGACAAATTATCTTTAATTAGCATACCCATCGTAGACGTATCGTTTTCATTCATTGATTTAACATTTAGCTTTTGAGGATGTAAAATATGATTGGTACACGCGGCTTAGACGAGGCGAAATCTCTGCATTTGTGGAGGAATTTCCGACTCGTTCTTACTTTAAGTCACGTTTGTTCCTCAGTACCGTTGGCGACCTTGAGAATCTTAACGAGATGTGCAACTCAGAGTCGGTTAAGAGGCTTGTCTCCAATTCCACCATCTCTCCTCTCTTCAGTAAGCAAAAAAGGGAACCATATTGTTTGTCTGGTGTGTGCACCGGGTGAGCGCAGGGACGCTTTTTGTTCGTCAAAGTACAGTACTGCGTTTTGGAAGCATTGAACTGTACAAGATTGTTGCGTCTCCAAGCAATGATAGCCTCCAGGTCTCTTTCAGCTTGCTAACTGTACCTGTTCAGAACATACAGTGCTTTTCTTTAATGAACGGATCAATTCAAAAAATAGGAACTTGAGCTAATGAAATTGAATCGATCCGTTCAAAAAACCAAAGGGGAGGGGACATTAAAGAAAAGCACTGTATAATGGGGGAAGGGTACTCTTTGAGAAGCACTGTATATGAGTTTCTCTGAACCAATGTATGTTGTAGTGATTTCCGAAACGGGAATAAACACGGCATCACCTTGATGCGATACAAACATCAAAGACAAATGATTAGATTACAAGCGCTTCGCAAATTGTATACCTTACACCAGAAGCGCTAATATCCTCAACAAACATAGAAACAATCCTATTTTTGAAATTTGCAATCAGATAAGTACACAGTATCTTTATCTACACCATCATAATAATTTAAAATAACAGACGCTACGAGTGCTGAAATATTTGCCATTTGATATAGCAACATTGTAAAACGGCACTTCATATGCTGACAACCAGAGTGTCAGAACGATATCTTCAAATGAGCTGGAGAGCTCGTTATTAGCGACCCCGAAAACATCTAAAACATCAATGAAAACATTTTTTTGCAGTGATGTACACCGCACTTTTGTCGTTTGACAAATACGTAAGATAGCATATTTTTTTG